GATCCTTCAGAAATCATTCTAATATGCTGATTTTGTGCTCAAGAAGCATTTCTTACTACGATCAATGTTGAAAACATCTGTGCTATATATTTTCGTAAAAACATGATACATTTTTTTCAAGTTCAAAAGAGCAGCATTTATTTGAAACAAAAAACTTTTTATATTATGTCTTTACTGTCACTTTTGATCAATCTAATGCATCTTTGCTGAATAAAAGTATTAATCTGGGTCAATATTACTGACCTCAAACTTCTGAACAGTAGTGTAACTGTATATAACTTCAAAAGGAATACATAAAACAACTCTCATATGCAATTCACATGCAAATCATCTTTACCCTTAAGGCTCTGGTCCCACTTGCTAATAGTGGAGGATTCAGCACTGAGGCCCTCAATGTACTTCAAATAAGCTTCTGAATGCAGAAGACGCTGAGGTTTTGGAGGTGGGGCAACAAAAATAGGCGGAGCTGGCTGCTGCTGGCCTGGTTGACCTTGACCTGGATATGGTGGTGGAGCTTGTCCTGGCCCATATCCACCCATCTGAGAGGACAAAGAAAGAGAAAAGTAAAGACAGAGATTCTGCTTTAGCATCACTACTGAAAGCTGCATGAATATGTGCTTCACCTGCATGCCATAATGGTTTCCAGTACCAGGACTTCCTGCCATGCCGTTCATTCCTGGGCCCATCACACCTGAGTAGGAAAGCAAAAATAGTTTAAATCTTGAGTTAAGTTTAAATCTTAACACCAATAAATAAGGCTGCAAATAATCTGCACTGATTGAATAAATAAATATTGTTTCTATGATTTACATTTTCCCGAAGCAAATGGTGTTTGTATAAAACAACGATTCAGTGCATTCAGTCCGTGGAAAAGTGGAGGTGACAAATCATGTGTAGAAATTAGATTAAGAAAGTGTGAGGTGAGACAGAGGAAAAAGAAAACATTAGCTTGTTAGTGGTGCTGTGTGAATATTCCCACCCTATGAATTACAAACAACTAAAATTAGACCATGCAGAAATACAGATAATATCTAGTGATAAAAAGCATTTCTTCATTCACTAAAACAATGTACAAACAAAAGACTGTTTCAAAACCAAATAAGCTGCCTTGCTATCCAGGCAGAACACTAGATTTTGAAACAAAGCCATGATTTCAAACCAAGAAAAAAAAAAACAGATTTCCTGTTTTTTCCAAATTTGGATTGGAGCTGGTCAGAAGATCTTCAGGTGTGGTTTCTGTTTGATCGGGGTGCTTCTTACCCAGATGGGGCATACCAGAGTACCCGGCCATGCCTGGCAGAAGGTAGTGCTGGGAAGGCAGCTGGGGCACCCCCATGGGATGA